AAATAATAAAAAAGAAGTCAGTCGTCCTTTGAAGAAGGTCCTGTGAAGACCTGGAATAAGAGCTCCACACATAAAGGGACAGTCATATCTCAGACTCCAGTCGGTGTTGTTTTTGTGGGAAGATAGACTCCTTGTTGATCTTCTAATATTACAGGAAAGTGAGAAATCTAGATTGTGTCACCCAAAGCCAGAAATAAAGTCCACAGGGAGGATGCACGGGCATTGTTTTCTAAATTTGTAATTCCAATATGGTACTTGTGTCCAAAGAGGAAAGAAAAAATGATAACAACAACAACAATAAACAAGGATATTTGCTAATGGTGTAGAGTGCGACCATGATTGCATCTGCACCTTGAAGACCAACTCCACATATATGATGAGATACACAAGAGAGAATCTCTTGTAAAGCACTCTTTATTTCCTTTTCCTCTTCCTATCCACAACTGTCTCTATAGCACTGGACTGAAGATTTTTCCTTAGTAGGGATTCTGTCCAGTCTATCTTTGTATGCCTTATGCCTTAGCACAGAAGTAAAGTTCCACAGGTGTGATAAGAATGAATGTGTCAAAAAGAATGAATATGTAAGGTGTTACCAGCTTTAAAGATCTTTCTTTGGGAACTGCCTCAAGGCATAAGAACAAATACTTGAAAGATAAACTTAAAAGGAAGGTGAAATGAAGCCTGTTGCTCTCACCCAGGTGTAGCCCCTTCCTCTTTGTAGCATGTCTAGGAGATTTCTGCAAACATTCTCAACAGATTTGGATATGGATTGTTTTAAAATGTTTCCTCTTTTATTCCTAAAATCTAATCATGGTTTGAATGCACTGCTATTGAACAAGAAAACTCAAGAGATCCTATAGTCTCAGATACAACATTGTACTGAGGGTCTGGATATATTGATTATCTCTGCTTCATAATTAAAGTGGCTTCAAAAGTTCTAATGCTAAAGGCCCAGAATGACTGTCATTTGCCTTCCATGTCCTTTAAAGGTATAAACACAGCATACATGGGGCAGAGAGAGAAAAGGAAGGCATTGTGGGTTGTTGTTGTTGTTATGTGCCGTTGAGTAGGACCCGACTCACAGGGACCCCTCCTTGGGTTGCTGAGGCAGTATCACTATGGAAGTAGATTGCCCAACCTTCCTTCCAAAGAGTAGCTGGTGGGTTTGAACTGCCAGACTTCTGGTTAGCAGTCAAGTGCCTTAGGCACTATGCTACCAGGTAATATATTTTGAAAAGCATAAGAGCACCTGCTTTTTAAAACATTTTTTCAGTCAATATGGCATCTTAGATACACACACAGTATCAACCCACTGACAACAAAGAGTCTAGAAACTATGTAAAACATATACAAAAAAAAAAAAAAAAAAAGGCCTCTGGTCCAGAATATCAGGCAGAGAGTTGAAGAAACAGACTGAGCACCAAGTGGAAGGAGAGGCAGAATAAGTCCAGGAGGAAAATAGAGATTCATGGATTAGCCATGCCCTGCTGGCCAGTGGGGAGCAGTGTAGCTATTTTGGGATATTGTTGTTGTTGTTATTATGTGCCGTCAAGTCAGACCAGACTCATAGTGACCCCTCCTTGGATTTCCGAGGCAGTATCACTACAGAAGTAGATTGCCCCATCTTCCTTCCGAGGAGTGGCTGGTGGGTTTGAACCGCCAGCCTTCTGGTTAGCAGTCAAGTGCCTTAGGCACTATGCTACCAGAGCATTGAAAATAACCTGAGTGAAGAACCCAGATAAGCAACTACAATGAGAGCACAGCTGGTGGCAGAGATTCAGTACACACAACCCTGGAAAGAAGTGACAATAGGGACAACATGTTGCCAAGGATGGGACATACTTCAGGAGGAAACTGTGCAAGTGGTATAGCTTTGAAATTAGGGTAACACAGGGAAGTGCCTCTGTAGCACATTGATACAGACTGAATCATTGGAGCCTTACAGAAGGACAAAATATAGATAGGTAGTGGACTTTTGCAGGGGGTAAAAGGGAAAGAACAGAGGGATGAGTGATTATTCCCACCCTTCTGGCAAGTATAAGGAACGAAACTAAGAATTTGTACAGGGACTACTTGTCAGTGGAGGTCCCTGACCATTTATATGGGAGACATTCAGTGAGAAGTCCATTGACAGAGTGACAATTAGAGCCCTTTCCCCCAGAAATGGCCTTATGCAAGCAGCCATCCCCATATCCCTGCAGATACTTCTGTCCCCTTTCCCTTCCAGACATGCCTGTCATCTGCATTAGCGTATGCCCTGAGGTGGAGACTGGCTTAGCCAGGGTAAGAAAGATCAGCCACTACACCTCCCTGAGGAGCAGATATTCTGTGCTAAGGTTTTTCTTCACCCTCTACCCCATTCCAGACATACAGGCTTCTGTCACTTCCCCTTTCCACCTCCAAACCCCTCCTAGCTGAGCAGGACTCTGTACACTGCACACACAACAACCACCTGGCTGAGGGGGTACTTTGTGCACTGTTCTGTCAAACACCACCAGCTGAGAGAGATTCTGTACCTTACCCAGCTGACTTTCCTGGCCATGTGGGCCTCAGCACCCAGTCCTGCCTTCTCTTCCCTTTGTCTCATGCTGTGTTACAGGGATCACACTAACTTTTTGTGGCAAGGCAGAGGGAACACATTATCCCTTAAGAGCTGTGAAAGGACCTTGACCACCCAATACCTGGTACCGTACATCAGGGAAAGGATTTGTTTGCATACCACCAAGAAATCCTCTGAAAGAAATCATATGTGCCTACCAACATATAAGCATTGTGTCTTTGATTCACCATACCTGCCAGTGAGAAGAAAGAACACCTAGACAGGTGACAGCCCAAAACCCATACACATAACCACTAGCTTCATGGTCATAACAGGCTAATAGTACAAAACAACATGAATTAAAAAAATAATAATAAAAAATACATAGGAAGGTAAGCAATACAAAAAGACAGGGAAGAAGCTAAGCTACAAATATATATATATATAAAATAAATAAATAACAACAAAGCAAAGAGATAAGTGAACATAACACCAATAAGAAATATATAAACAATTTTAACTTTATTGAATCAAAGACAGCAGTAATTATAAATCATATAAATAAATAAGACATGGTACATCAAAATGTACAAAATAAAGGGAAATAAAGCAAGATAAAGGCTGAAAATACTTGCTGAGCAAGAACCAATATTAGATCTACCTAACAAGTAATTGGGAGCTCTGGTAGCATAGTGGCTAAGACACTTGCCTGCTAACCAGACGGCTGGCGGTTCAAACCCACCAGCCACTCCTCGGAAGGAAGGTTGGGCAATCCTACTTCCGTAGTGATACTGCCTCGGAAACCCAAGGAGGGGTCGCTATGAGTCGGGGCCGACTTGACGGCACATAACAACAACATAACAACAACAACAACAAGTAATTGAAAGATGAATATTTAGCTTTCTCAAAGAGATCAGAAAAACAACACACACACACACACACACACACACACACACACACCCCTAGAGGAATTCAGGAAAACAATCCAAGAACAAAATGGCAACAGTAAAGAAATGAAAACCATATCAAAACAACAACTAGAAATTTGGAAGATTAACAATGAAATATTAGAAATAAATAACAATTAAAAGACACAGAAGTAGAATAAAGTCAAAGGAAGAAAAAATCAGTGAAACCGAGGATAAATCCCTTGATGATAACATGTTGATCAACAATAAAAAAAATGTTGAAGGAAAATGGAGATAGCCTGAGGATTATGTAAGACATCATCAAGATGAATAATATTTGCATATTAGGAATTCAAAAAGGGGAAGAAAGAAAATAGCTTACAGAGAGATTTTGGATGATATAATAGGAGGGAACTTCTAAATATCATGAAAGACAAGAAATTTCTATCCAAAAATCACAATAAACTCCATCCAGGATGTAACCCAAAAGAAGTTCATCAAGACATATCATAATCAAACTTTACAGAACCAAAGCCAAAGAAAGAGTTTTTAGAGCAGCACGAGAAAGGGGAAATATCACCTACAAAGGGACTCCAATAAGATTATATCCTGATTTCTCATCAGAAATCATGCAAGCAAGAAGGCAATGGGATAACATATGCAAAGCTCTAAAAGAAAAGTTTTGT